ATATTAAATTTTTTATTATATAATTAAAAGATAAAACTTATTATAATATATTACATATTTATATAATTAATTTAAAATAAAATTTCTTAAAAATATTAATTATTATAAAAGTACATTAGAAGAGAATTTATAGTAAAAAGTCCTGAAACTCTACAATCTAAGAGATAAGCTTATAATTATTTTTTTAAAGAATTTAATTAGCTGATTTACTATAGTAAGATATATTTAATATATTTGATTTAAAAATTTGCTATATTAAGGATTCACTATATCAAGGTTTAACTGTATTACAAATCTTATGATAAGCATTTAAATTGATAATCTTTTAAAAATTGAAAAATTATTTATAAACAAAAATGATCAAATATTTTTTTTTAGAAATAAATTTTTTCTAAAAATAATATTATTAAAATTTAATTTATAAAAATAATATCTATTAATATTATTTTTTATATAAATAATATTATAAATATTAAAATATAATATTTTAATAGTTATTTTTTTTTATTTTTTTAGAAATAATATTATTAAATATTATTTTTCTAAAAAATAATACTTCTAATATTTATTTTTTTTATTAATAATTTTTAATTATTATATAAATATTAAATTTTGTAAATAAAAATTTATTCTTATAATATTTTATAATAATAGAAAAAGCAGTTCTGATGAATAATTTATTATTCTAATTTATAAATTATTTTATTAAAATTATTTTACAAAAGAAAAATCCAATTATTTTATATATTATTTACTTAATTTTAATTCTTTTTTTTATATATTATATATTTTTAATGCATTTTTCTATTTTAAGTTTAAGTTTTTCTAAAAAAAAAAAATATATAAATAATATTTTGAAATTTCATAAAATTATATATTATAAAATTTATAATTTTTAAAAAATTTTTTTTATTGAATTGCAAAAAATTAATGAAATTAAATGTTTAGTTATTTTACCAAATCAAAATTATATTTAAACAATTTTTAAATTAATTTGAATTAATTTAAGTTATTTTATTTAAATTAATTAAAATGATATGAATTATTTAATTTAAATTTTTGTAAGATAATTTTAATTCACTAATTATTCAAATTAAAAAAAGCATTTAAAAATTTTAAAAGATAGGTTATAAAATTTTTTTCTGATGGATTGATCCCATATTTTTCTTGCTTGATTAAATTTATTATAGGTTTCTTAAAATTCAAAAATCAAATCAAGTTTTAGATTTTTAAAAAAGATATTTTAAAGGTTTTAAAATTTTTTATACATTTTCAAAATTACTAGATTTGATCAGTCATTATTAATTTAAAATTTAATTTGAATTTAACCAAATAATATTGCTATCAGACAGTCTTTAGCAAAAGTAATAGTAAAATATATGCTTTATACATGCTTTAATTCATCAAAATATTTGCGGTGACGCATCCACCAGCATTACTTTGGTGGGTAACCGTACAGTCGCGTCTTAAAGTAACGCCCGATTTGAAATTATATATATAGTAATAAAATGTATATAAAAAATTTTTTTAAATTTTAAAACAAATTAAGTTTATGGGTTTAAGTCTTACAAGATAGAAATTATTTTTTAAATGTAATAAAATTTGGAAATAATTTTAACAGTAATACGATCGTATGTAAATTTTTTTTATAATAAGAGACATAGAAAATATGGATATAAAAAATTTTCAACCTTTTGGTTTATTTTTTGAAAGTACATTTGATTAGCCATAGAATGATATATAATTCAGAGTTAATTGTAAAGAAAAATGCAAATATTTTATAGCCTCAAATTACTTTGATCGGGCGTTACTTTGTGACGCGACCGTACTACGTTAATAAGAAATTATTAAATTCCTTATCAGTAAAATTCATGTCGTAAATTCATTGTACTCATAAAATCTTAACCATTAAGAAATTACAAAGAAAAAACGTATTAAATTATTTTTTTTTTTTTTAAAGCATATATAACATTGAAAAAGGGACAATTTTTCAAAAAAACAAACAAAATATATAAAAGTTAATATACATATATTGACATTGTACAAATAGTAACTATTATACATCTCTGATCTATAATTTATGTAAGAAATTATCTAATTATCAAATATACCAATTCCTCCTTGATGCATTACTACATCTCAATATGTCGCTAACAATTCTATCCTCCCAATCTGATCGGAATAGGTAACTAGCATGATCCAAACCACGCATCATATGAACGGAAACATTGTTTTTCGCAAGATACTTGTATACTTCAGATGATGGAACTATATTATCATGTTCTGATAAATAAACATGCGTATTTGCCGGGAGAGCATTACGATGTTTTACAAATAACGCCGATTGGAACCAATGGAAATGACGAGAAAAATAGTGAGAAATATACAACTCACGTGAGCAAAATAGGTAGGTCACGTGCTGTGATGGAAAAAAAGGAGATAAAAATCAAATTGGAATGTCTTTTATGGGAAAATTCAAGAATACACATATATAAGAAATCCTCTCACTATTTACCTCATTGGCAGCCTTTGGCTCACGATAAACAAAATTGTAAGCTACATGTGAATAGTGTAACAAGAAACAAACAGGATCAATCAAAACACAGCCACCAACACTTTTCCTTGCTTCTTTAATCATCCAAGAACAAACCGCAGTACCCAATGAATGAGCAACGAATGTGGCTTTGGGAAAACCATGTGACTTGAGCATTTCTTCAATTTCACGTACAGTTTCTTCCATAGTCGGGACATCTTCAATTAATCTCATAGATACGTGAGGAAGTTCGATCAAGAATAACGGGCGATTCAAATTATACAACTTCCTGAGAAAATTGAAGTAACAGAATAAACCACCACCAACACCATGAATGAAAACAATAGGCTGCTGCTTTTGATGGTTCTTTTTCAGAGGTGCATTTTCGTTATGAGAATTGGGATTATAATACCAGTAGCTGATTCGTGATTGAGATGATTTAATAGTTTCCTCCTGAATATCGAACTCAAGTGTGCTAGACCAATAACCATTTAAAACGCTATATTTTAGTCCATAGTGTTCAAAGCCGGCAAGTCTTAGAATAATGTTAAATAAATAATTCAACAAGAAGACTGCCTAAATATATATATATGTATCAAAGAAAAAAAAGGTTGTTAATTTACTGCATGGAATTTCATATCCCCTGTAGAATAAATTAGACATAATACGTACAACATAGAATACAAAAGGTCTTGGAATGGCTTTAATGGGATCCAATGATAATCGAACACATCGAACGTCGGGATTATATCCTTCAGGGAATTTAACTTTTTTAACATTTTCAATGGTAACGATCGATTCGTATAATTCAGTTATATATTCTGTATTTTGACGGACTTCTTCAATAGTACTGCCAAAGAAGCACCATGCCAACCTACAAAGTTGACAAAATAATTAAAATAAATCGGCATATATAATATATCAAGGTTCGGAAAAAAAAATTACCATTCCTCAAGGTTTTCTCTGCGAATTTGATCGAACGTTGCCTTTTGTTTGCCAACGGAAAACCAGCCTTCAATCCAATTGTCAAACTTATCGATAGTATTAAGGCAGTTATGAAGTAATTCTGCCCTTACATGTTTGGGTGGAACAACTGGAGGCAACAGTTTTTGAAATCTCGTAACTGTCATTAAGAAGTACAAATGAAAAACAAGTTCGAAACCTAACCAATAATGCAAAAATACTGATACAGACGAATTCATGAAAGTAGCAGAAAAGGCATCTGGAAACAATTCGACTAACAATGATTTACGGTTAGTAACATAGAAAATATAATAAATGGAGGAAATAATTGGAACTGAAGAATAAATTGTCGCGACAAGCCTTACAATGGCTCTCGCTATCAAACTATCAGAAATCATCTGTATTATTCTATCATAAAAAAAAATGAAATAAAAAAAAAAATAAATAAATAAAATATTGGGGCTTTTTATTTATTTATTTTTTTTTTTTTTTGATGTACTGTAATATATATATTTATTTGAAGAGGCGGGGAGAAAACTTTTTTGATGGATATTTATTTATTTTATTTATTTATTTATGTTTATTTGGCAAATTAGGAAATCAAAGATTTCGGAAGTGTGATTGGAAGAGTATGTGATATGATTATGCAGTGTAATATAAAATATTTTTTAATATTTAAGTTGGAAAAATGGCAAAGCTGTATATAAATTGGTCATTGCCATCCGAAAGGTTAAGAATGTATATGACATTTCATAAAAGATAAACACCTTCATTTTAATTTTATTGTATGAAGTAGTTGACTACAAAAATCAAAGTTGTATGATTTTCTGACAATTGTTTCACAAATGATAATGCAACAAATGTTACGTATAAAACGTGTCAAGCCTCGTGATCTGCACACAAAAATACTGAAGCGCAGCACGCTACTGTTTTAATTGTGAGCGAGATAATCTGTTGCCAACATGTTTTAAATCAAAGAACCCACAAAGAAAGTTGTTCACCTGACATCATCTGAGTAACATTGTCCTCCTAGATGTTGAGTTTGTGCCACATGATCTTTAAATGCAAGAAGGATCGACAAATATTTCTTTCCTTTTTTATCGTAACCTATCCTTTTTCCAATTATTATAAAAAATTATGTAATTTTTTTTTGCAATAAACTAAGAAACTGATTATAATAATCAGTATTTTCACTAATGGCAAAAAAAAAAAAAAATATTTGTAAAATGCAAGCATTTAACATGGCGGTAATTGATGTCATGATACATTTCGTTAATGTAAAAAAGATTAATGAGATTAATGACTAATTCAAAATACATAATAAGTTTAGATCGCCATATTTTTTTTGTATTGGAAAAAATACAAAGCAAGATAATCAAATGTGATGATTAGAATATGGAGAGTACATAGAAAACATTTTATTTACATCACAAATTTCCATTTTAGATTCGTCTCAACTTCAAAAAAAAGTCAATTGACTCGTAATTTAAAGTTTCCTATGAAAAACACGGCAATGTGGTAAAATTGATATGAACCTATCTATGTCGATTTGGTTCCTATTCGATTTATACAGTTTAAATCTACATGAAAATCCTCATCCTTACTTATAATAGAATGGAAGAATAAATTTTACCGAGGTTTCCTGTGCGAGGATATGTACAAATTTTTTTTTATATTTTGATACATGTGTGCAACCAGCTTCATGTGAAAACTATTCTTTTGGTCAAAATCCCATTAAAAAATCCTATTTTGAATTTTTAAATCCAGAATAAAAGTTATAAATTTGGTTAAAAAGACTTATGAATTTCATTCCGGCTAATTTTACATTTACAAAAAAAATTTAAATTAAATTAGAAATCATTGATCATAATCGAGTAATACCTTAAAACAACTAGAAGTTTTCAATAAGCTATTTGTGGCTGGACATTAAAAACTCGGAATATGTAATTTTTTTTTCGGATTAAGGTTTCATAGTCGTCATATTATTAAATTCTATGTAATATCCCCCTAATATTATCAAATTATAGTTTAGGAACCTACTTTTTTATTTATACATATAAATTGGGAGATTAGTTACAAAAAAAATTTTTTTAATTTTATTAATGACAAGAAAAATCTTATTTTTTATTATAAAATAATATGTAAATTATTAAGAATAAATTTTTTAGTTCATTATAAATTTAAAATTATAAAGTATGTAATTTAATCCAATAATAAATTGAATTAGTTCGAAATTTTTGAAAAAAAAAAAGTAGTTTGTTTTTAAAATAGATTATTATGACTACAAAATAGTCTCTTTAATTATATAACGTTATTTAAATTTGATTTATTAATTATAATCTACATTGTGCACATATTTTCGAATCTGCTAAGCAACTTTACTTATGCGACAAAAGTCGATTTCCTTTGACCAAAATTTTTATAAAATTTAACAATTTATTAGAAATTATATTTTTACAAATTTAAATTAAATATTTAAATAACTAAAATTTATTAAATTTATTAGAAAAAAAAAAAAGTAATATTTAAAATAATAATAATAAATCCTTATTATTAATTATTTTTTAATTACTTATTATTATTTTTTTATTAAATGAATTGAAAAATTATATATATATATATAGTATTTTTTTAAAATAATAAGTTATATTTAATTAGTATTGATTTTTGTATTATAATTTATATTATTATTAATATAATAAAAAAATACTTATATTAATATTTATCTTTTGATTAACTATATAAATAATCTTTATATTTTCATTTATTATATATTTTTAGATTATTTATATAAATAGATTTATATTAAGTTTAATATTTTTATTTATATCATCATTTATAGAATAAAATATTAATATAATAAAAATTTTTTAATAAATTATATTTTGATTATATTTTTATTTTGCATAATATATATATATATTTCTATTATAAACAATAGATCTATGATTAAAATAATAATATAACTTTAAAATTATATATTAATTAATAAAACAATAATTATTTTTTTAATAAATAATTAAACAATTAGTTTTCTTATTAACAAATAAATTTATTATTAATAAGCATAGTTAAATAATAATATTAATCTAGAATTTTTATTAAATTTAATCATAATTTTTCATTATCATAAGTTAAAAATTTTAATAATAACTTATAATTTTTAGTTGAAATATATTATTAATTTATTATTAATTTATTATAAAATAAATTTTAATAATTATCCCTTATATCAAAAATATTTTAAGCATATTTATCTACTTATTTATTATAAATTTTCTTTTGATTTACTTTTATTAATAATTAAAAATTTTTTAAATTTTTTTTTTAAAAGTAATTTTATAAATATGTAATAAATTATAACATATTTTATCTTTTTAATTATAATAAAAAAATTTAACATTATTTAAAAACTAAAAATTTGTAATTATAAAAATAATTTATAATTATTAATCTATAATAATCTTTTTTAGAATTTACTTTTTAGCAACATTAATTATAAAATTACTTATAAAAAAAAAATTTATTTTTATATTTTTAAATTTTATTAGTAATAAAATGATTTAATTAATATATAATCATATAAATTTTTTAAAAAATTATTATAATAAATTTTTGAAACAAGTTTAAAATTAAATTATTTAATAAACTGCCAATAAAATTAATATAATATATATTAAATTATATATTTATAAAGATATTAATATTTTCTTTTAATTTTAAAGGCAAATTTACTTGCTAAACAAGCTAAGTGATAATATATAGTATATGAAATTTTAATTTTAATTTATAAATAAATAATATTTAAATATTTATAGTAATATATAATTCAAACATTTATAAAATTTTTTTAATAATATAAAAATAAACAAAAATAATTAGTTTTAATATTTATTCCTTAAATTGTCTATCAGGCAAATTTGTCTATGAAATTAAAAAAATTTTTAATTTCTTTATAAAATATTAAATATTAATTTTAGTAATATTATTACTATATAAAAAATATAATTTAATATATATT